GCGGCAGCCTGCACGCCGCCGGGGAGCCCCCCGGAGCCCCGGGCCACGCAGAGCTCGTCGACCAGGTAAGCGGGGCGCGGGGACCGGGGCGCGGCCAGTGTCACCTCCCGTGTGGCCTTCCAGCACGGCTCGGAGGGGAGGAGCCGGGGGCTGGCCCTCATGCGGCTGCGACCACCTGTCCGCGGCCCCCGGACCTCGCTCCATCACGGCTCTGTCACAGAGAAGGCTTCGTATGGCTATGACTCACTTCCCACCCAGACGAATGACGAATTCTGTTTGACTTCCCAGTGAACAGACAGACAGAAGCCCGTTTGGAATGGCGGCTTCTGAATGTCTGTGCACAGACTCAGACAGCGCGTGTTCATGCACGGCCCAGGCCAGGCGACGCGGGATGGAGCCCCGAGCTCGGCTCTGCTTCCTCCTCCCCCACCAGCCCAGCCTCGTCGCCGTCCTAAGGCTGCCTTCTGAAAGGCAGAGCTCGCGTGCCCACTCAGGACACTTGCTTCTCTAGAATCGGAAGCTCCCTAGGAACCCAGCATGAGGAGCTTCCGGCGCAAACAGTCACACGCTCTGCGTGACCGGCCTTCATTCCCGTGTCTGCAGAACGTTCGAGCCTTTTCTAGCAAGCAGGGACTCTCATGTAGGAGGGTCCAGCAGGTCACATGTGCAGCCTCGGCCGCCCACCTGTCTGAACGAGCACGCAGGGCGGCCACCGGGGCTTCGGAGCGGGGGGCCTCAGGGCCCAGGGACTGGAACGGCCAGTCTTGCTCCGTGACTCGGAGGACTGTGGGAGCACAGAGCAGCTCCGTGACCTGAGCAGCACTGACCCCCGGGGGCCACGGCAGTGACCCCAGGATTCCGTGCGCAGGGCCTGGCCGGGCGTGTGGCCTGGCCGGTGTTCACTGCTGCTGTGACTTTGCAGATCAGGGACAACGATGTGAACTGTCAAGACCTAAGCAGGTGGCAGGGATGTTAACAGAAAACTGTTTTTTAAATCTGTCCAGGAAACGTCAAACTTGGTAAATTACGTACTTAAAAAGCTGAGAGAAGACCAGGTCCAGATGGCCGATTATGCGCTCAAGTCGGCAGGTGAGTAAGGAAGTGAGCCACAGGGTAAGGAGCCAGGGCTCCCACAGAGCCTCCCCAGCGGGAAAACACGTTTACCCGTCTGCTCGTTCAAGGCGGAGACAAATGAACAAATGCAGACGGCGAGGAGGAGACGAGGGAGGGCTGTGCTCCGCCTCCACGCGGGGAGCACGTGTCCGAGGAAGGACTGTCCACCCGCTCGCCTGGGCAGGGCTGTGGGCGACGCCGCAGGACCACAGAGAAGTCAGGGGGGCAGAGGGGAGGTTCCTGTCACGGGCGCCACGACCCTTTATATTTCACACACTAAAGGGAGTGATAACTAAAAAATCAGGCAGAACGTAGAGCATCCGAACGACACCATCGAGAGCTCGCTGTTAACGTGGCTTTCTCAGAGTGACAGCGTTTCCAGGGTCATGAGACTGGAAGTCAGATTTTTCTACCAATTCCCGAGCATGAATTTTACCTTACTCATTTTCCAACATTATTAAACTCTAAATGAGGTGTTTTGAGTTGTGTAACTTTTATTTTTAAAACTATTTTACAATTTTAGGAGCCTCTGTCATTGAAGCTGGGACCTCGGAGAGTTACAAAAATGACAAAGCAAAACTATCCTGGCATGGGATTGGGTTCCTAAATTACGAAATGCCCCCAGATGCTATCCTTCAGGTAAAAGCGAGATTAAGATTAGCCTGTTCATCTTTTAGGATTTTGTTTCTGTTATTTACCATGAAAATATTAATGTCTAAAACGGAGGCGACGCTGAGCTCGGCAGAGGCCTGAAACTCTCTCTGCATATTCACAGTCATCGCTCACTTGCATTGTTTCTTATTTTATGGTCAGTAAACTAGGATTCACTTACTGTGTTAAGGTCAGCAAACTAGCTCACCCGCTTCTTCAATAGGACACTCACATTCCACACTCGCGTTCCCCTCTCCCGTGACGCCGGTCACTGCGCACACGCTCACTGAGGGTGCGCGCCCCTGCGCACCTGCACCGTGCCACACGCCGTCCCGGCCGGCACAAGTCCAGCTGCAAAGGGAGACACTTCCCGGTGAGATTCCCACGAACGTCTCGGCTCGGTTCCAAAGGCGCCGGACGTCGACCGATGGGAGAGCTCGTCCGTGAAGTCTACACGGCCGAAGTCCGTTTCCAGGGAGAAACGCCTTCGGGGCAAACCTGCAGACCTCACGCCAGAGCGCAGTCTAGATCCTTCATCTTCCTCAGGACCAGCACCGGCACCAGCATCACCATCCCCACTGCCAACCTCACTGCCACCACCAGCACCAGAGCTACTGCCATCACCACCACAGTCACCACTATCACCGCATTCACGTCACTTCCATGACCACCACCCTCACCGTCATCGGCACCGTCACCGTCACCATCATCACCATCACCGCCATCAGCACCGTCACCGTCACCATCATCACCGTCACCATCACCGCCATCAGCACCGTCGCCACCCATAAGCATCACCACCATCATCAACATCATCACCATCATCATCATCATCACCATCACCACCATCAGCACCATCATCACAACCATAATCATCACCACCATCATCAACATCATCACCATCATCACCGTCACCATCATCACCATCACCATCACCATCAGCACCGTCACCATTACCATCATCACCATCACCGCCATCAGCACCATCACCGTCACCATCATCACCATCACCGCCATCAGCACCGTCACCGTCACCATCATCACCGTCACCATCACCGCCATCAGCACCGTCACCGTCACCATCATCACCGTCACCATCACCGCCATCAGCACCGTCACCGTCACCATCATCACCATCACCATCACCATCAGCACCGTCACCATTACCATCATCACCATCACCGCCATCAGCACCATCACCGTCACCATCATCACCATCACCGCCATCAGCACTGTCACCACCACCACGCCGACCGCTGCCTTCCAGCAGCATACAGTCTAGTTAGAGCGCTGACGGGAAGCCCGGTCGTGGGGTAAAGAGCCCTGACTGGCATAAGCGTCATGCGCCGGAGACCGACCAGCCCCGCGCGTCTGGATGGCTTGTCGGTTGCTGCGAGCCGCACGTGATGCCCGCAGACCGCAGGCACGGGCGAAGTCTGCGGCCGGCTCGGTGGGCGCGGGTTTCCGTAGCCAGGGGAGAGATTACCTCTGTGTCTCTCCTCCAGCCGGATGTTCACCCTGGGAAGTGCTGGGCCTTCCCGGGCTCCCGGGGCCACGCCCTCGTCAAGCTCGCCATGAAGATCATACCAACCGCCGTCACCCTGGAGCACATCCCAGAGAAGGTGTCGCCCTCAGGAAGCGTCTCCAGCGCACCCAAGGAGTTCTCCGTCCACGTGAGCTGTCTGAGCCTTTGTTCAGAGAGGGGGCGGGGGGCAGCTGGCTAGGATTAGGAGCTGGGGTACCATCTGACCTGTGCAGTGAACCATCTGCATCACCGTGAGGGGGTAGCTTCTCTCCTGGGCTCTGATTTGTCACCTGCCAAGGGAGAGGGTTGAACCAGTTCACTTCTACTACTTAGGATATTTTTGTCCATCCCTAAAGAAATCCTGCAGCTCTTAGCTGCCCCCTCCCACCCCCGCCTCCCTGCCCCAGCCCCAGGCGGTCAGAACCTCCGTTGTCTCTGTGGACTGGCCTGCTCTGGACACGTCGCAGAAATGGAATCGCGTATGTAGTCTCTCGTGAAGGGCTTCTTCCACTTAGCATCGTGTTTTCGGGGGCCCTGCACGTCGGACCCCGTCAGGACGCCACCCTTCCGTGGCGTTAGCATTGCGTTTTCAGGGGCCCCGCACGTCGGACCGCGTCAGGACGGGGCCCTCCGTGGCGTGGAGGCACCACATCTACTCATCCGCGCACCGGCCGCCGGGCGTCTGAGTTCTTTCCCTCTGGGGCCAGCGCCCGTGAACGCTGGCGGACGAGCTCCTGGGCGGACCGGGTTCTCATGCGCGGGGGCCTGCGGCTGGCCGCGGTGCAGATCGCGTGGCGAAGGCGCCGCACGGTTGGCGCGTGGCTAGGCGGTCCGCCTCGCTGTTAGTGTCCTGCGGGTGCGGGAACCGCACTGTTCTCAGCTGGGCCATGCGGTGTGCTCGACAACGAGCTGCTTTGGGTCAAATTTTTGACGTTCCTGAGGACAATGCCGGCCTCACCCGAACCTCCTCTTCGGCCACGCGAATGTCCTCCCTCGCTCATGTCAGTGATTCACAAAGCTCCTTTTTCTTTTCTCCTTTGAAACATCCTCTGCCCGTTCGCTCCCGTCCGACTTGCTGGCAGTTACGTCCCTGCTGCCTAGAGCTTTGTTCCCACATCCTGAGGGCGCCGCCGATCGCTGACCCTGTTCCCTTAAAATCTTCTAATTTCCTTCTTTGCTTTTTTGTTCTACCTCCCGAAATATTATGAGTTTCTTTCAACTCCTATGTTGTTCTTTTTAAGACTTTTTCTGTAAACATTCCTTTATGTAGAGTCGAATGTCTTCTACCGTGGATACAATATCTTAAGCCCCTAGAGAGATTAACGGACATTAATTATAGCTGCGTTTCATGTTTTCCTGCGCCCTCCCCTGTTGATGGGGTCTGTCTTTCTCGTTAGGTGTTCTTCTCACATGTCTGGTGACACCACAAGGCCGCTGAAGGCTTGGCGCACAGGGCAGGGCGGGTGGACAGGGAGCTGGCTTCCTGGGCGGTGGTCTGGTGGGGCCCTTTCTGCTGGAGACTCCAGAGGGTGGTACCAGGCAGGGTGAGCCAGGAGGCCTCAGCTTGGCGACCCGCGCTGGAGGAAGAGGTGTGTGGCCGCCACCCAGCAGAGGGTGAAGCGAGGCCTCAGCTTGGCGACCCGCGCTGGAGGAAGAGGGTGAAGCTCCTGCACGGTGTACACCCGCAGCGAGCTCCCGAGGCCACTGCCTAGCGCTGGGGGGCGGCAGGGGGGCCCTCAGCCGGGGCAGGGCTCACTGTCGCCCCTGGCACCCCACACCCCGCCTCGGCAGTGTGTTCCCACGGCCAAGGCACTCTGTCTTCTGGCCATGACACCCGCTGCCATGCGGCTACCTCCAGACTTCCTGTCTTGCCGTCTGCTCCCACACCCCCCTCGTAGGCCTTTGCCTTACGCAGTCCCCTGGCGTCCTATCCGGGGGAGGGCTCAGTTAAATAGGGGCGCTCGGCCTGCCTGTGTCTCATCGAACGGCTCTGAACGCCAGGGTTCTGGGCTTCAGCACACACAGGGCGACCCCCCCTTGGTGCAAGCCGGTGCCAGCCGAGCCCCGGTGCCGAGTTCAGATGAACTGGGGCAGGTCAGACCTCAACCCAGACGGGTGCACGCGGGCACCCACTGCAGAGGGATTAGGGGAGCCCTCCAGGCAAGAACCCTGAGTCATCAAAGCGACTGCTCATCGCTCTTGCGTCAGCAAATTTATGAACCGAGGCGGGTGGTAAAGGAGGTGGAGACAAAGCCAGCACCCTCCCGAGCCTGCCGAAGGCACTGCGCGAGGCCAGCGTCTCACATACACGTAATCGTGGGTATGTTGTTTAATCACGACGTACTCGATTATCTTAGTAAAATGATGCTACAAAGAGTTTAAATATCGATCTGTTCATTGTAAAATGATTGATCTAATGAACTCTTTATCCTGCTGCATTACTGTGATTTAAAGAACCTGGTGATAAACTTTAGATTCACAGAATAATTTAATTTCTACCAGTGCATTCTCCTCTCAAAAACTTTCCATTTTTAAAGGTAGAGAAGGTAAGAAAACAAGAGAAATTGCATCCAAATATCAATACTTTCTTTCAATGAAAATATACTTTTGGGATAGAGCTATTTGTGTGATAAGTCTGAAAACTGGATTAAGTTGTCTCCTTTTGGAAAACATTAGGTCAACATGGGGCCTTTTTAAAAAATATTTTATTCAAAGTATTCCAACTGCAAATACGATTATTAGGCCAGAGTTAATGTTGGGTTTGTGCTGTCTCCTTATTTACTCACCCATCCATCCACCCACCCATCCATCCATCATCTCTGTTTTATCCACCTCCCTGTCCATGTACCTATCCACCTTCCTGTCTTCCTGTCTAGTCAGCCCTGCGATCGGCCTGCCTCTCGCCTCACGCACGCCCGAGTTCCAGGCCTTCTGGGCGCACACAGGGCAGCAGTGGCGCGAGCCCAGCTCGGGGCCCCTGCAGGAAGGCAGAGCGCTCCGGAGGACGCTGCCGCGGGAACAGACCACCGCCCCACGAGTTTTAGCTGACAATCTCCACATCTGCTTCCTTCCTTACAGGGCATCTCGAAACAATGTGAAGGAGAAGAGATTTTCCTCGGTCAGTTTTTGTATAACAACACAGGAGCCACCGTTCAAACCTTTGAGCTCCAGGTAACGAGCCCCGGCTCGGTGCGAGCGGCTGCATCCCTGGGAGGGGTGGGGCGTGCCGGGGCTGCGTGGCGTGGCAGGGCTGCGTGGCATGCCGGGGCTGCGTGGCGTGGCGTGGCGGGTACTTATCACGAGAGAGTATTGAGAGTGTGGGAAGCGAGGCTCATCTGAACCTCAGGTCTTAGCTCCAAGTGCCTATGTGCATTTAATGCAAAAGACAGGCAAATCCCACAGCGGTTTCTACGCCTAATTCGTCCTCGTTGCCATCACCTTCTCGCCCTCATCTTTCCAGGTTGGTCCCCTTGCTACTCTCAGGTTAATCTCTGCCTCAGCTTCCTTGTCAAGTGCAGCACGGGAAGGTTAGAGGCAGAGAGGAACTCAGGGGAAGGGAAAATCAACGTTTAATACCAGACAACACAGGGAAAACTCTAACTGAACAGGAAAAAAACAAACAAACCTGTTAACAAGTAACTGCCCTGAAAATCATCACGGTACATGACATCTACCTTCGTGATTTCTCGGTGGCCACAGGAAGTAATGAAGAGATGCAGAAGGCATCTCACGCCAAGCAAAAGCGAGTGTTTCTGACACTGCTTGGCCGGTGGTGAGGAAGTCTAAGCGGAACAGTGCCTGTGTCACACACGCACGTCCCCGTGGGCTTCCGTGTGGGACTGTCCGCCGGGCGCCTCCCTCCCGCCCTGGGACGGCCACCCAGGAGCCCTACGGGGTGAGACGGTGGCAGTGAGGGCATGTGGGTGTCCCCCTCCCCGGCGCTGGTCTCCAGCGGCTCGTTTTCTCCCCATCAGAGCGGGGAGCACTGTGTCAGGAGGGGGCGGAGGGGGTCTGCATGTCCTGCCCACCAGCATTCTTTGGGATGCTCTGAGACGGGTTTCCCAATAAGGCAATCATTTTACTTTTCCTTCATTTTCAGCACGAAGTTTCTGAATCCTTATTATGTGTGAAGCTTAAAATCCTCAGCAACTGGGGACACATGAAGTATACCTGCGTGTACAGATTCAGGGTGCACGGCACCCCGGCAGCCACCCGGGGAAGGGCCGGTGCGCAGGCCCCACCCCCCCAACTCTCACGGGCCCTTACCCCCTAGGCTCACGGCGCTCGCGGGCAGGGAGAATCGGGAGTGTGGGTCACACTTGCCAGTGAACGTGAGTGAATTTACTAATAAACCGTACGACAGTGTTTCCGTCTCCCGCGGCAGCCCGCCTGGCTTTCGAGCGCCGACACGTAAGGCTGCGCGTGCCCGGCGGCTCCGCTCACGGGCTGCTCGTGACGGCGCCTTTGCCTTCCGTAACCGGCTCCTTCACATCACGCGTGGACGGCCACTGTTCCCCGTTACTGGACACTTCCCTGGAGGCCCCGGTCAACGCCATTAAATAAGTGAACGAGCACAGAGGCTAAAACTAGTGAGGAGCTCTGCCCACTACGGACAGAGGATCTGATGAATTCCCTGGAATGCGATAAAGGCCATTTAAAAATACATTACCAACAAGGGAAAACCGCAGTAAGCCAACGGATACAAAATTATCACATGTAAATCGACATCATTCATAAACACAAACAACCGCCAGTTAGAGGGTATAATTGACAAAGCCGCAGCAAAGATTAAAAAAAAAAAAAAATCAGATAAAAGAAGAAATTAAACTATCTACTTGAAGCACTTCCAAACAGCAGCGGACCACTAGGGACCAGTAAACGGAAAGACGCGACTTTACTGTGACACGGAAACTTAGCTCTCGAGATATCAGCTGTCCCTAAACTATAAACTCAATTTAATCTCAGTTAAAAACAAGAGAAAGTTTATGCTATTTATGAGACAATTATGGGATATTAAGGATTTACTATTAAAACGATATTTTAGTGCCTGTGGGATAATAGTATTTCAATTTTGTTACAAGAATTTTTAATTTGTTCATATACTTAAATACTTAGATGAAACAATGTATCTGGGACATGTTTCAAAATGACGAAAGAGGGGAAAGAGGTGGCAGAGCGATGGGAAAGTCTGGCCACGAAACGGTCATTGAAGCCTGGACGGTCCGGGAGGGTTCGCGTCCACCCCATCTTCGTTTAAGTGTGTTTGATATTTTCGATTTTAGAAAGTTTTAAAGAGATTAAAACATCATATAAGAAACCGAAAGGGTTGTGTTTTAAGCCAAATTGATTCTCCAGTTCATATGAAAACATAAACTTAGTTATCTATTATCGAAGTGGCTGTCATCAAAGTAAAACTGTCAGTCCGCAGTGCTATAAAAAGGGTGGACAGCTGTCTACCCCACCCGTGGACGGGCAACATTTCACAGTCCTTTGGAAGTGACACAGCAGCACCCCGAACCGTGGTCTCCACCCTGCTGGGTGGCGGGTGGGCCCTTTCTCAGATCCCCAGTCCCCAGAGCTCTGCCTGACACGTCTCACGGAGTCTGCAAATGTTGATTTCAAAAATATTTATGACACGTGAAGTATTTTTCCTTAAACATCTAGAGAAGAGTCTTCGAAGCTGCATGAGCAGAACCCGCCCCTTCCTCCTGCACAAGCCATGCCCGGCCCTGGTTTTAGTTTTCTCACGAAAGGAAAAAGACAAGTATCGCCTGTCGCACTTGAAGCAGAACCTCTGAGCAGGCCGGGGTCTTCCCCACGGGGAACACGGAACCGCCAACAACAGGACTGCGAATCATCCCCCCGGCACTGGGAGAGGTGAGGGAGCAGCCGCCAGCCTGGCCGACGGCCCCGGGGCCAACCAGCCAGCGCAGAGCCCTCTCCCGAGCAGGGTTTACTCCTCTGCAGCTGCGAAGCTGTCAGGTCCCCTCTCCCAGCTCCACGTCCTGGCTGCCGCTTCGCTCCAACCTTGCTTCCGTCTTGGCGACAAGATGACAGCACTTCCCTGAACAAGAAACAAACAAAATGGCATCACAGATCATCCTGGGACAACTACTAACCGCCGAGGTCTGGCCTAAAATCAGAAGGCAACTTAGTCACTACACGGCCAGCAGTGTGAAGACACGTTGCACTGGAAAGCTCAGGCACACAGGGTTCCAGAAACCTCTCTCGATCCTTGCCTCAGAATTATTTGAAAAAATGGAGGGAAGTAGTGTCAACATATTTAATGATCGATACTGGAATGACTTAGTTATTAATTTGCTATATCTATTTAGCTTAAAGCTGCAGGAGGGCGTGAGATTCCTTTTGTCTTACAAGAAAAGATCATTACACTTAATTTTATATTTGTTGGGTCAAAATTCCTTATATTATTTAAGCCTCTGTCTATACACAAAGCAGAATCATACAAGTCTTAGGAAGTTTTAAAAAGTTTTATTTTTATGGCATGAAATTAAGTGATTTAAAGATCAGTGATGAAACTGTTTACGAAGCTTATTTAGATATATTCTTCAATCATATTTATGATCTCCATAAACACCACCTCATTTAATAATTTATCTCACCGTTTTACAATTAATTTATAAAGTAATAAAGTGTACGTTGTTAACGAAACAATTTTAACGTGACTATTACTTTGGCCAACACTTGTATGTAACCATGCGGACTGGAATTTAGCTTCATGCTATATAGTCTTACAATAGACAGAGCTGTTTCTAAGTTTTATAGTTTGCACTTTTAAAATAATCTGAGTTACTTTTTTCACATCTGGAGTCTACATGTCAGGTAAAAAGGTTGCAGGTTCTCATCTGCAAAGCACATTAAAAACTGCAGTCTTACCATGGATGACCTTGCCTTTGAAAAACCAAGTTGGGGACAGTATTTGGTCTATTTCCCTCGTTTTCTGATACCTTCTGACCCCGGTACGTCACCTACGGGAATTCTAGCAGGACCCGGCGAAGCGCATCCCGAGACAGAGCTGCTGAATCTGCACTTAACGGGGCGTCCTTTAAACACCCCGCTTTTACCACAATTTAAACATTTTAACTGAAAACCACTTAAGGGCCGGAACGCAGCGCGGGGCCCCGGGGCGGAGGCGCCGGGCCGCCCGCAGCAGCAGCGAGGGGACCGTCCGCGCGACGATGTCACTCAACCCTTCGCACGCGGGGGGTTTCACTGCGGCCCGCTCA